TAAGTGGTAGAATATCAGCCAAACAAGATGAGCAAGCCCTAATATTTACCCAAATATATTCCAGACTTTTGTTTACACAGAAACCTGAGTTTTTAGCAACTTCATTCTTAACTGCCCAAACCTGGGGACAATCAAGGGATCCAAGAAGGTGAGTAGAAAACTATGTTGTGAATATTATTCAACACTACAAAGAAATGAGCTGTTAAATCATGAAAAAACATGAAACAAGGCTAAATACATATTACTAAGTGAAAGAAGCCAATGTAAAAGGTTACTTACTGCGTGATTCTAACTCTACACCATTCTGGAAAAGACAGAATTAGTTAGTAAAAAGGTGAAGTGGTTGCCAAGTCTTACAAGGGAGCAAAGGATGAGTGGGAAAAACAGAGCACATGATTTGAGGGTAGTTGAAGTATTGTGTATAGTACGTAATGATCGACACGCCATGCATTTGTCCAAGCCATTGAATCATCAACAATGAACCCCTATGTAAATTAAAAGAGTTCTGGTGATAATGATGTGTCAGTATAGGTTCATCAGTTGTACTAAGTGTACCACTTTGGTGGGGTATGTTGATGATGGGAAGTGGTAGAGATAGCAGATTTATGAGAAATCTTTGGTCCTCTCAAATTTTGCTGTGGAACTAAAACTGCTCTAAAAAGTCTTTTTTAAGAGAAATCTGAAACAAATATTAACAAATTATTATTTTTATCTGTGTGCTTTCTGGGCTTTTTTTTGGGGGGGGGGGGGTCAGTCGTGGGGCTTGAACTCTGGGTTTTGGCACTGTTCCTCAGCTCTTCAGCTCAAGGCAAGCGCTCTATCGCTTGAGCCACAGCACCACTTCTGGTTTTCTAGTGGTTTATTGAAGATAAGAGTCTCAACGGAGTTTCCTGCCCCAGCTGGCTTTAAACCGCGATCCTCAGATCTCAGCCTCCTGAGTAGCTAGGGTTACAGATGTGAGCCTGTAATTTATTCTCATACCTGAGAATAAAATTCATAATGAAGTATTTTAAAAGATGTCATGAGATGATCTGGGAAATTTGAACACTGATTATTTGATATCAGGAATTTTAAGCGTGTGATTATATTTTTTAAAGTGTGGTGATTATATTTTTAAAAGACAGAAGTTCCTGTCTCTTGCAAATATCTGGGAGTGTGTATGAAAGAAATTATGTGCTTAAAAAAAAATCTTCCTGGAAGAAGAGGAGGGATATTAATGGATACAGTTGCAATAGATTTTCTATATGTTTATTTATGAATACATGGCTTATTACACTATAATCTATCATTATGAATATGCATTTTTAAAGGAACTCCTCAAAATAGGTTTTAAAATTTTTGTATTAAAAATAAAATTCTGGTGGGGCACCAGTGACATCTGTAATCTTACTCAAGATCTGAAAATCTAGGTTTCCAGTCTAGGCATGAAAATCTGTGAGGTGCTTATTTCCAGTTAACAGCAAAATAATAGGAAGTGGAGCTGTGGCTCAAGTGGTAGAAAGGTAACCTTGAACAAGAAAAGCTCAGGGACAATTTCCAGGTCCTGAGTTCAAGCCCCAACACCAGCATGAAATTAATTATCAGTTGAATTCTAGAACCAATTTTTGTCCATTCTTTTTCACCTTGCTTTCCTTGCTTGCTTGAGACATTTTCTCACTTTGTAGCTGGCCTCAACTTTCCTCAAACTTGCAGCCATCCTACATCAGCTCACCTCAGTGCAAGGATTACAGGAGTACACCACTGCACTTGGCTGTCCATTGTTCCTCACACTACCTCACACTGACAATAAGCAATGATACATAAACAGATCTTGATTAAAGTTGTTTTCATACTGGAAAAGGCTTTATTTCTAGCTGTAAAAAACATAGTTCAAGGGGTCATCCTGTGTCCTTGTTTCAGCATTTTGTTATGCCCCTTCCTCTCCCCAGATTAGATAAATGTATATACAAGATGCAGGGTACCAAAATCAAATATGGTGACAACAGGGGATATGCCATAGGGGGAAACAACATATAAAAGAAACAAAAAAAAAAAAAATCACATAGTACAGATTCTCACAAGAAATGAACTTTTCAACTTCTGGGGAGAGGAGTTGAGGCATGGGGGAGGAAAGGGACAATAGGATAAAAAACAAAGGAGGGTATAACAATGTTCTACAAGAAATGTACTCATTACCTTACTCGTGTAACTGTAACGCCTTGTGCAGCATCTTTACAATAAAACAAAATTTAAAAAATATATAGTTCACAGTTGGGTCATCAGTTCTAATGGAGGTATAGCTAGGTTTTCTTTTGCTTTCCAAACATGTCAAGCACCAGAGCTGTGGAATTGAAAGCCCAAGGCCTGAAATACCCATAAGCAGCTGCAAGGGTGGGAGGTGACTCATTCTAGCTTTATAATGTTCAGAGAAACTGTGATGATAAGAGTAAAGACTAAAAAATAAACCAGAGATAACCGAGATAACGGTGGGGGGGAGAAGCTGAGGAAACGAGGCAACACTCTCAACTCTTTGGCTTGAGAAATTTATTATGCCAAGGAAGATAAATTGGAGAAACATGAAAAGGGAAAGAGATCTTGTCTCTGACCGCTGTATTTCTCTTTTAAGTGAATGAGAATAACACAGAAATAAAAGCGTTAAACAGAGCTGAATACTCAGCCAAAATCACGCTTCCTAATCATTTCCAACTTTGGCAGAAGCCTGGCTCGTTGTACTTGAGCAGTTTTTGAGTAGTTTTCTGGAGTTTGAATTGTACATATAATTCATCTTGATCAGAATATATCCAGGAAGCCAAGATTCATTTGCTGAGATAAGAATGCTAGCCACATGCTGAATGAAACCAGGCTTCCCTCTCGGTGTCAGAAAAGTCACTTCTGCCTTCTCACTTTGGAGAGTTCTGAGAAACATAAACAAACAAATGTAAGTGGTGAAATCATTTCTTTGGGGCCATCTTGACAAACAAGTCATCATATGACATACTTTCCCTTCCTATAGGAGACTGTTCTATACTAGAAAGACATAGTTGGAGAGAGCCAAGCTAAAAGGCAAGAAACAAATAATAAAGAACAAATAGGGAGTCTGCAAGGAGACCAGGCATCTATAAGAAGTGGCAGGCTGGCCTTCATGCCTATCGGGGATGAGATAGGATCAGAGGTGGTGACTGAGAAAATGGAACCCTCACCAGGTGCTGGTCATTCATGTCTGTAGGCCTAACTATTCAGAAGGCTGAGATTTTAGGATTCTGGTTTAAAACCAGCTCACGTAGACAAATCTGAGAGACATCTAGTCACAAAAAAGCTAGGAAGTGGAGACATGAACAAGTGGTAGAGTGGAAAAGCTGAGGGATAGTGTCCAGGCCCTGACCCTGAGTTCAAAACCCAGTACTGTCTTTCTCCCTCCCCTCTTACACACACACACACACACGCACGCACACACACACACACATACACACACAGAAAATGGAACCCTAAGAGAGCCATGTTAATCCTGATTCAGTAAGTATAATAGGAAGAACTCCAGATTCCAGCACATTGGTTTTTAAATAGTGGTGAGATTTACATCATTTCATAGGGTTAACATTTTTAGGGTATGCAGTCTTTGTTCATTGCTATTTAGATTTCACTTCTGAATAACCTCGAATGACAGGTTGTTCCTGCCCAATTACTTGTGGTTTTCCTTGCCTTCCAGGTAATTACCCAAAGTGTGAGTCAGTTTCACACATGTTTGTGAGGCCTTTGCTTTTAATAAAAGTCTTTGGTAGTGGTTTTTTAAAATGCGTTTTTTATTGTAAAAAATACGGTACAGAGGGGTTACAGTTACATGAGTAAGGTAATGAGTACATTTCCTATCAAGCATTGTTGCCTCCTCCTTTGTTTTTCCCCTACCATCCCTTCCTTCACCACCTCCCCAACTCCCCCTTTCCCCCCACTCCTCTGCTGAAGTTGTAAAGTTGGTTTTCAACATAGTGTCTTGTGCATCTCATTGTCACAATGGGTCAACCTGTATCGCTATTTAAGCATTTTGTTTTTTCCCTTCCCTTCCCCAAATTAGAAAAATATATAAACAAGATGCAGGGCACCAGAATCAAATACAGTGAAAACAGGGGTTAGACCGTGGGGGAGGAACATACCAAAGAAACAAAAAAATCACATAGTACATTATAAATACATTAAAAACAATAGCAAGAAAGAAAAAACCATTTGTGTCCCTATCTTGGGGTTCATTTCACTTAACATCTGGTGTTGTTTTCTTTGAGATAAAATTAAGTTGTTGTAGGAAGTTCTTTTGGAGAAATTGTGGTGATGGGAATCCAACTTAGAGCTTTATACATGTCAGGCAAGCACTCTACCTCAAAGCCCCATGCACAGCCATCTGGTTTTTATAGTTTTTGAGACAGGGATCTTGCTATGTAGCACAGGCTAGCCTCTGATTTTTTCATTCTGCAACCTCTACCTTAAATGCCGGCAGTAAAGGTGTGCACCACCATACCCAAACAGGAATGTTTTTTGGAAGAAAACTTTTGTTTGTTCAAAAAGGCAGCTAGGTAAATATGTAGGTACATAGGTGTCAACAGAGAAGGCCAAGATCTTTGCAGAGTGAGACAAATCATTGGTTTACAGTCCTCATCTACCATTTACTAACTGTGAATTTGGGCAATTTACCCAACAGATATCTTTGAACTTCAGGTTATTTATCTAGAAAATACAGTTGTTAATTGTTGCCTATTAGAATTGGGATGATTACAGATAATACTTTTCTTTTTTTAAAAAAGGGAATGAGAGGGCTGGGAAATTGGCTCAGTGGTAAAGCGCTTGCCTTGCATGCCTGAGGCCCTGGGTTCGATTCCTCAGCACCACATAAGCAAAAAGAAAAAAAGCCGGAAGTAGCGCTGTGGCTCAAGTGGTAGAGCACTAGCCTTGAGCTGAAGAGCTGAGGGACAGCGCCCAGGCCCAGAGTTCAGGCCCCACGACTGGACCCAAAAAAAAAAAAAATGGAATGAGATACATTGGTTGGATTTATGGCAGGCTCGTCCCTCTGAGCCTTTATAGTGTCCCATGTCAAAGCAAACTGTGGTTCTAAACTACTGCCAGGTCTCTACCTATGGGCTACTGGCACTAAAGGGGGCTACACAGATGGAAAAAAAAATTAAGAGAATGAGAGGGAAGGATAAATGTTAAAAGTAAGAACTTCTGGGCTGGGAAGGTGGCTCAGTGGTAGAGTGCTTGCCTCACATGCATGAGACCCTGAGTTCAATTCCTCAGCACCACATAAGCAGAAAAAGCTGGAAGTGTCACTGTGGCTCAAGTGGTAGAGTGCTAGCCTTGAGCTGAAGAGCTGAGGGACAGTGCTAGGCCCAGAATTCAGGCTCCAGGACTGACAAAAAACAAAAAACAAAAACAAACAAAAGTTAGAACTTCCTTCCCTCACCAAACAAAGCATGTTCCCAGTTCTCTTGCTCTAATTTACATGTAGTTTTACATGAAGTTCAGAAAATAAAACAAGATTCAGACTCTGTTTCAAATACATGAGAAATGATTCACATATCTTTAAAACGTGAATTTCTTCTGGCAGTAATGACATTATTGGAGCATAAATGGCAGCTCACTTAGCATGTCCTTATAACTCTTATCAAAGAAAGACAGCTTTGTTCTCAGTGTGACCCACTTGGGACTCACTGCTTGTTGATGGATATTATCATTTTTTATGTCAGTAAATAATTTGATGTCAGATAAATGACCTGTTTCCTTTCTGTGGTATAAAGCTCATCCATCTTCAAGGAGCTTGAGTGAATGAAGAAATCTGAGCAGACCAAGTGTTTCTGACTGCAGGACAGGAGATAGTTTATTAATTCTTCTTAATGCAAGTCCTAGGCAGTTGAGTTTAATTCTAAATGTGTGCGTGGTAAATCAGTGAGAGCATATGCATTTGCCATTGGCTGAGCAGAGAGAAATAGAAAGGGAACACTTGCTTTTCTTCTAGAAGAAGAGGATGCTACTTTAGTACTGCTTGTATGAAATATACGGAAGACCCCTTCTGCATGATTGGGTATCTGACCTAGCCCTAACTCTTGTTGCCTTGAGGAATAATAATGGTATAAAGTGAAGGATCAGAAAGATGCCTTTGTTTGTTTTTGTTTTTTTTAAATGCTAGTTCTGGGGCTTGAACTCAGGGCCTCAGCACTGTCTCTAAGCTTTTGTGCTCAAGGCTAGCACTTTACCACTTTGAGCCACAGCTCCAATTCTGGCTTTTTGGTGGTTAATTAGAAATGAGTCTCACAGACTTTCCTGGCCAGGCTGGCTTTGAACCATGATCCTCAGATTTCAGCCTAGTGAGTAGCTAGGATTACAAGCGTGAGCCACAGTCACCTGGCAGAAAAGTGTGTTTTAACTGACTTTACTTCTAGAAGCTTTGAAGGTTGCAGCAGTTTTAAAAATGTAGCATCAAATAAGTTCTAGAAACAGCATCTATGCTTTTTGGAATGCAGATTCCGATCATTTAAGATAACCTCTGAGAACCTTTTCTGTTTGAGGATGAGTGCAATGAATCCATGATCACTTTGGAAGCTTCTGGAATCATCTGGGAGATATAGTCAAGGCAAAAATGAGGACAGTTTATCTTCTTGGAAAACTTGAGATAGGGTGGGAATTACATCATTGAGTTTTTCCCAATATAATGAAGATGACTTGGGAATAGTTCCTTGAATAATAGACCACTGGAGTTTTCTGGAGCCATTCATGGAATCTGAGAGATCATAGGCTGTAAGCTTTTTCAGAGATCATTTAATGCAAGTATCTTTTTTTATTTTTAATCTGGCCGAAGATAACTCAGAGCTCAGAGGTCAGACCTTTTCTCTAAGTCACAAAATGGGTTTGCAGAGTAAACACCTGAACGCAAAGACTGTGTGTGTGTCTACTAAGAAACTTTGAAAATTTTGTAGATTTATCTGTGTCAATTTCATCAAATTACAGATCTAGAAGTAAGGAGAAGGTGCATATTTATTCCAATGAGCAATATATAAAAAGCCAGTCTGGGTTTTTTTTTTTTAATGTGTGTATGTGTGTGTTTTGCTTTTTGTTTTAGTTTTAGTAAAGGCTCATTAGCCCACAGGCCAACTATGACTAGTGTCTCATTTTTGTACCCCTGATCCAGGAATAGTTCTTACATTGAAAAAGTTGTAAAGAAAAACAAAAGAATGGGTAAATGATGTGGTAAGGACTAGATGGTCTTGAAATGTCTACAAATATTAATTATCTGCCCCTTTACAGAAAGTTTGTTGACTTATATTCCAGAATATTCAGAGGATGTTTTATGACTGTCTTTATAGATCTTATAACACTTTGTGTTTTATAGTTTTAGATAATATCATGGATTACAGAAAATAGTTTGAACAGTTATCTGTTTAGGGAAAGCTTTAGGGAGAGCTTTTTGTCCTCAAGAGGGACCTATCTGATTTATGGATTATACACTAAATATTAAACTGAAATGTAGGCAAATCTGTCTCTCTTTTTCACAGAAGTTCTGCCATTTAGTCACAGGATTGTGCATTCTATAATTTCTCACCACATCTATTTCCTGAAGCATCTCAAAATAGCCATGAGCTAAGTCTGGCTAAGGAATTTTTCTGCCACACTACTCAGAACCACATGGTTCACACTGGAAAACCATGTCAGGAGGGAATCCATGTCCATGTATGAATTGCAGATAAGACTGAGAGGAAAGAAAGAAATGAGCAAGTGAAAAAGAATGTGAATTTATAGAGAGTTGAGAGCTAGAGATAATCCATCTCCTTTCCTTTAGAGAAGTTCCTTCCAGATTGTTTCATACTAATTCTAAGATTATGGATATGAAAGTGTGTTGTAGGTACTCTAATTGGATCAAATCTGTTGCTAAAATGACAAAAGTGGATCTTATTGTTAAAACTAACCAGTCCTTACTGTTTTCAGTTCCCAGAATAATTCAGCTCAAGGAAATATTGACATTTCTGTCTGAATTCATTCTGATTTCCATTTTGTAAGGGAAATATTTTCTTAAATACTGCCTTAGCCACAAACCTCAGAGCCTCTGAGATGTGTGTCTCTCATAGATGAGATTACCTTTTTCTTCTGTCTTTTCCTGTTTTAGGCCTTTTCCTCCCCATGCCACTGTTGGAGCAACACTTTTGTTAGAGAAGATGGGAAGGGAAGACAGTGCTGTCTTGGATGGCTAAGTAACTTTCTGTGGAGGAAGGCTGTAAGGATGTCTCCTAAGAATTTTCTTCCTGTGTCATCTGGGAGGACACAGGAGCACTGCCTGGCTAAGCCATGTGGTAGGCCTACGATGGAGGTCTTGTCATAGCCAGAAGGTTTTCTTGGATCATGGATTGCCAAAGAAAGCTAACTTTAGGTTCTATCAAGGTCAGGGGAATCTCATAGGTTTACAATCCAGTGAGGAAAAAATACTGTATATAAAAATGCTCTGATAGAACTGATAGACTCCAGTATTTGGATGTGTTATGAAAAGGACTGTTCATTGTCATTTGCGGGAGGTCAATTCTTCACTGTGTAATACCACGCTATACATGCTTAGAGGCTTAGCTTCATATTTTTGTCCACTCATTAATTACTCTATAATCACTAGGACAACACAAGTAGATTCTTAGAAATTTCCATTCAGTCTCTCTGTGAAAATAAAATTATGTCAGTGCTTGAAAGCCACTGCATGGCCTTACTTCTGAAAATTTTTCCATTGAAATTTTGAGGCGATCCAGAGAGAAAGCTGAAAGATGAAATATTCAGAGTGTTGGGCTAGGAACTTTTGGAGTGTATGGTACTGGGGATTAAACCCAAGGCCTTGTCGATGCTAAATTAAGTGCACTACCACTGACTTATCCCCAGCACTACACTTAGATCCATTTGTTCGAAAGAGTCTCATCCCTCACAAATTCTAGGTTATTTTCATCACTCCCAGGAGATGCTGGCCTAGAAAGATAGGAGACTCCTTACCAGATTACCCTGGTAAGTGTGTTAAGACTTGAAGAAACTCAGAATTTGAAGAAAACTAACTCACTTAACTTCCAGACAGCCTTATATAGGTCTATCTTTGAGTCTCCGCCATGGATTTAGAATAATTTCTACTGGCTTCTTGTGCTGGCCCTTGGGAGGTCTCTAAGAGAGATAGCAAATATTTGCAGTAAACATTAATTGAATGTGAGATTGCTTGGGTCTAGTTCTTACTGCTACCACTAACTGTACAACTCTGAGCAAGATCTTTCATTTCTCTGGGCCTGTCTTAGTTTCCTATCTATATAGCAGAGCTAATATTGCTACTTGTCTCATAAGGTATTTGAGCCATTCAATCAGTTAATAAATATGAAATGTGTGTTTCTAGCACCTGATAAATATTAGTTCTTTTATTTTTAATACTTTTTTATTGTAAAAATACTGTTCAGAGGGGTTACAGTTACATGAGCAAGGTAATGAGTACATTTCCTATCAAGCATTGTTGCCTCCTCCTTTGTTTTTCCCCATCATCCCTTCCCTCCCACCTCCACAACTACACCTGCCCCCTGCCTCCCCACCCCCGCACCTAAATTGTAAAGTTCATTTTTAAATAGTGTCTTGTGCATCTCATTATCTCATTGTTACAATGGGTCAACCTGTATCCTTATTTAAGCATTTTGTTTTTTTCCCTTCCCAAATGAGAGAAATGTATATACAAGATGCAGGGCACCAACATCAAATACAGTGAAAACAGAGGTTATACCGTGGGGGAGGAACATACAAAGAAACACACAAAAAAATCACATGGTACATTATAAATACATTAGGAACAATAGAACCCCTATCTTGGGGTTCATTTTGCTTAACATCATCATATCTGGTCACATAGTTCATATAGGTGCTAAATCTAGGACTAGATCAGTATTTTGTTTTGTCTCATAATTGGAAATACATTTTCTGAAGGTCATGAAGTAAGTTTGCTCTATAGGAAGCTGAGTGCAGACTTGTGTCTTTATTCATCAGAGGGGAACTACATCTGTGCCCCAAAAGCACAGATGTTTGAAACAACTTGTCCCTAAGTTTGTGGTAGAATGGAGTAAGGAGCTTGGCTCTGGATTGTGCTTGTCCTTTAGGTGACACTGCCTTTGGGGTTTTC